TGGTCAGTATGATAAATGATCTTATTCTGGGTCAAAGAAATGGTACCCCACAGGGAGGGATCCGCAAGGCGGCCCGGGAAAGCGCTGTGCTCTGGCAGCACTGACCCCTTAGTGACCAGTGCTGCATATATCTTATTTATTGCAGACCAGAAGGGAATTTTCCATGGTTCAGCCTTTATAGGGTTCCCCTATTTCCCTGAAATAATCCTGGTTCTTCAACCAAGACAAGAATATGGGTGTAATTACTCCTTCTGGATGCCCTTCGAGGCACCGTGTGCGCTGTGTGGGTTTGAATGTGGATTTTAAGGTGTCTGGTTGTTGTGTGTGTGTGTGAATCTGCCAGTGACCTTTGCAGCTCCCGAGGAGCCAAGAGCTGTGTGTCTGTGTCAACTGGTATCACAGTTGCACAAAATCCTTCCTTGTGTCTGCACATTTATCAGTTCAGTGTGAGATCCTTCTAGTGCAACACCCAGCTTCGTGTTTCTTATTCAAGGCACCTGGTTTCCCTCTGCAAGTGCCCTCCTTGCTGAGTTATCACTGATGAATCTGTCAGGCCCAGGAGGTTTTATTGAGCTAGGAAAGATCTATGGATTTCAGCCCTGGCTTTGAGGGTGCAAATGAACCCTGGCTCTTGTTCCAGGCAGTGCTAAAATGGAGTCTTAGATGCTTTCCTATGGCATAGGAAACTCAAGCAGATTCTTCATGAAGGAACAGTTGGGGTAATGCAGAAGATCAGGCCTTGGAGGATTCTCAGGAGGGCAGAGCAGACTGTGCAGTTCTGTCTGCCACATCCAGGAGTGTTTGTGGTGCAGCTGGGCTGAAAAGGAGCCGAGGCTGTTGGGTTCTGTATGTGTTTGCTGCAGTTCCTGCATCCCGTCTGCCTGTGTGACAAGGCAATGACTTTGTGTCACCTCGTTTTCCTGAGCGCTGTGTTTCACTGGGTGATTTGTTTTCTGCATATATTGTGGGCTTGAGCTCCCATCTGTGCACTTGAACTAAGCAGTTTTCCCAAACGTTTGTCAGTTTTTCTTTTTTTTTTTTTAATTAACTTTAGATTATTTTTCCTGAGAATTTGGAGGGGGGGGTGATGTACTGTTAGCACAGGCAACAGAAGCTGTCTGTGTATACAAATAAGACAGGGATTTCCTACCATGTGCTTCAGTTGTTCCTTTGCAGTTTGAGAATATTTCAGCATCCTGGGCCAGTTCAGTCTTGCTCCTCTGGTCATGCTGCCAAGGGTGAGGACAGGTAATGAGAATTAGAGGGCGTTTTTTGGTGTGGATATTTGTTTGCTGTAAGTGGGCTACCAAAAGGATTTCATTAAGACCATGCACCAGATAAAAATATGTCCTTACTGGGATGAGCTGGGCTTGAGTTGGTGATACTGGAGCAAAATGCTGTATTGTCTCAGCTCTCACCTGAACCTCCCTGCTGAGCCAAAATGCACAGTGGGTTTTGCAGCCAAATGACAGCACCTGTAGTACACTGTGCTCCTGCCAATAGCAAACACCTCTGTTCTGTTCTGTGATGGGGACTAGCTTCAAACTAACACAAGTGTGAAATCACTGCGTTGTGATGATGCTTTAACTTGTCAGTGGATGTGATGCCTGACCAGGCTGAGATTTTTTTCCTTCCTTCTATGTCATCTGTAGAGGACCTGCTGTTTGCACAGCAAATCCTTGGCCCAGGGAGCTGGGAACCTGTTAGACCTGTAGCATAGTATCAGAAAGAAAATGTCCTATGTATGTCAACTGTAAGAGATAAGCAGTTGTGCTGTAATTTACCTCTTACTATTTCCATCATGAGAACATAGAGAGGCCTGAGCTGTTGATGAACACTGCTGTTTGAGGCGCTGAGCTGCAAGATGGCTTCTCCCCAGACCCCTTGCAATGCAAGTAATCTCGTTCCTTTTCAATATCTTACTTGTGGGAGATGGTTTTGGTGTGGCTGTGGTCATTTGTCATCCTTTATAATTGATTTGCTCTAGTAATATTGGTGTACAGAACGTAGAGACATGAAGGTGGGTGAAAAAATTCAGTGCTGATAAAGCAGATGAAAGTATTATGTCTTAAGGTTGGCTGTGGAGAAAGGATCTCAATTTTTGTGCCTTTTGGAGGAGGAAAGACATGTACAGGGGTATCAGGGTTTTTTTTTTCCTGCTGTCTAAATTCTTCAGTATGTGTGTACATGACCTCTGGGTAAGAGTAAATGAATGTAGGCTCAGGTGGGGCTGAAAATAACATTTATTATGGAAGGAGATGGGGCGAGGGAGTCTTCCAGCTCAGCCTCGAATAAATCAGTCCTCTCGCCCCTCCATCCAGGCTGCTTCTAGGTGGCTGTCTTTTATCCAGCTGGTGCAGCGTGTTTCTGTTTAAATGATCTCTCCTGAAAGGTCCCAGAGGAAAGGGCTGCTTATTCCACGCAAGGAGAATGGTATATGGCACAGCTCATTGTTGTGTGCCCTGCTGCAAGTGCATAAATATGAAACAGCTCGCGGGCGATGCTGCGGTGGGGCTGGTGTCCCCTTCACACCCCCCTCCTCCTCCTCCTGAAGGCTCCTCTCCATCTTCCTTCCTCTCCTGCTTTCATTTCTTGGTGATGGAGAGCGGGAGCCTTTTGGCTGTGGGATCCTGAGGGCTTGACGTTGCAGCAGCATTTTTCAGGGGAAGGCAAATATGGTTAACTCTTGTTTTGGTGGCTGATGGACCACTGTGGTGGGTGTGTGTATATATATATAAAATATATGTGCATGTATGTATATATATATATATATGTATATACACACACCTTCTGAGCGGCTCTCACTGTCCCTGGTGCACATTGCTAAGAAAAGAGGCAGAAAATGGTCTATTTTGTGCTCTTAAGTACATACCATTACAGGGGAGTCGTGGGTTGGCCCCAGGCAGGTGATCTGGCTCACCAGGCGGTTTTAAGGCACAAAGCAGCTCTTTTTGCCCTGATCAGAGCGATCCAGTGCTTGGAGGCAGCAATACCTGTTGTGCTTCAGGCAGCCCTGTGGTGGAACTGAGGTGCTGGGGACAGGCTGGAGGCACCGATGCCCTGGGAAAGTGGAGGGAACACAGGGAATCTCAGAGCATCCCCATCCCCCTCTCCCCAGGAAAAGAGGCCCCCATCTGCTGCAGATGAACATATCCCCATTGCCTAGTTGATGTGCACTTGCCTACACCAGGGCTGTTCATCCTTGGTGTGGCAGAAGCAGAGGGAGTGATGTTACTTGGAAGAACCCCAGCTCTGCTCTGAGTAACATCCATGATCCCATAAAATCCTGGAGTAAGGCCTGGGCTGAGTTGAGCCACTACACACACATTTATTTTTGCTGGTCGAGAAGCAAACACACAGGGAATGGTACATAGAGTGAATTTAGCTCAGAGAAACACATGTGGAAAGGTTCCTTGTGACTATGGCGAGCTTACTGCACGTGAGACAGACCTGGAAACCCATCCTGCCATCCCTGCTTGTCTTGTAGCAGGGCTCCAGCCCTCACTGGTGGATTTGTGCCTTCAAAAAGCTTCCTTGCGTCTCAAAAACAAACAAAACTCTTTTGGGGCTTTCAAAGGGCTGTTTAAAGGAGCCCCGGGAGAATAACTGATTGTGGATTCGGAATGATGAAGTGGTTTGTGGAACAGTGAAATACAGAGGCAAATGCAGGAGAACTCCACATTGCAATTTGTCAGCTTCTCTAAACCCTGTAACGGATTATTCCCCCCTCCCTTCTGTCTCTTCTCACCTCTCCAATAGGAAATTAACTGATGCTATCACTAAAGAAATTGTTTTTCCCTCACAAAGTAAAATTGATACTATAAAAACCCGCCAGCAGTGTCTCCTCCTCCTTTTACATGAAGACAAATTCTTCCTGTCACCTACTGAAATGGAAAGATAAAGGCTGAGCTTTAATAAAGAAGCTCTAAGCACCAAGTGTAGAAGGAGGGAGCAGGCACGGCATGGGGAACACACCATGGCAGCAGGTGTGATGCTGAGGGATGCTGCAAGTGTCCAAAATATGACTGGCCAGTGGCTGCACGTGTGTTTAGTGCATAGTCATGGACAAGTTTGGGCCCCAGAGCTCATGCCTCCAAGAGTTCGTGCTGGTTTTGGTGCTGATAGTGTCTGTCTTTGCTCTTTTCAGGTTCTTAGGGTTGCTTGTTTGGACTTTTTAAATCTAATTAAGCACACAGAGAATTAGACGTAATTTGTTGGGCGATAAGAGAACACACAGGATATGGGATGTGTTAAAGAGATCTGAACACTGGGGGTCTGCTGCTGGATTGGTGCTGAATCCATTCTTTGAAGGATGAGTTTTCTTGGGGAAACCTCTTGTGCCAGACTGTGGGGTTTGGGGCAGAGCCCTGGGCTCCCCTGGGATAGGACTGCCTGTGGGAGGCTGCTGGGGGACTGTCCTGTTAGGTGGTTTCTTTGCAGCTCTCCCCACCCATCCTGCACGTTCCTCATCTGCTCTTTCTGGATAAACAATCACTTTGCTCTGCATCACCAGGAGCCATCAGGCAGTTTGTAAACCCTGTCCTTTCTCCTTCCAGGGGATATCAGAAACCTGCTCAAGTGGATCAAACAGAATATGTTGAAAGAACGACCAGAATTATTTATGCAAGGGGAATCTGTGTAAGTACAACTGTTATGAATCCTCCTTGTATTTTTCTGTTGATCCCTGCAGTTTAGGGTATTTTTTCCCCGTTGGTTGCAAGAAGTAAGTCAATCACCATGAAAACATGGGGTTTGCTAAAGTGATAATGGGAGGTGTCCCACCCACACCTCACACTGTCCACAGAGAGCATCTTTTGCAGCTCTTGCCCTAAATCTTTAAACCTTAAACACGAAGCAGGGCCACGTAGACCTTGTCTCTGATGTCACCTGGAGCAGCATAGTGCCTGTACCCTCAATTCCAGGAGTTTTAGCAGGTCTGTCCGTTCCCTGCTGACATCACTGGGACTGAAGCAGTCACTCCGAGAAATGCCAACAAATAATTCTTCTGGGAAATGTATTTTTATTGTCAAAATGGGGCCAGCCTCGTGGAGGATGGGGGGGGGCAAGGAAAAAAAAAAAAGAAGGCAAGAGAAATGGAGCAGAGTGAGCTGTGCAAGCCATCCCTGACTGCGGGGTGGCGCTGGGGGTGTTTAACATTCGTCACGGATCTTTGTGAGCTGAAGCGTGTGCCAGGTCCCCTGGTAACAGGAGAGACAATTGCAGGACACCGAAGATCAAAGAAGGGGAATCCCTTTGCTCGGAATCAGGGGCTTGGAGTGGATCCCAGGTGTTTAGTGCCTGTGGTAGGGGCACTGGAATAGCTTTCCCTACCTTCACATCGAGCTCTCTGCGCTCGACTGTCGTGCGTGGGTTTTAATTACCTGGCTCTTCTGCATCGTACGGAAATGTATCATCCTGGAGCATCCTCGGGAATGGTGCGTTTTGATTCAAATGAGCTTTGGGAGTGCTCCTACCTCCCCTTTATTTGATGTAGAAAGGGCACAGACTGTACCTGTTCCACCTCCATGCTAGGATCCCTTTTTGGCTTTATAAGCAAGTCAGCTTGTGATCTGTGCTGTGACATCCCTTGTTCTTAACTGTTTGTGGAGCTTTTTAGCAGACCTGTATCCTAATTATTTCTCTCTGTTCTGCAGGAGGCCAGGAATTTTGGTGCTTATCAATGACGCAGACTGGGAACTAATGGTCTGTACTCCTTAAATTTGACTTTCTTTGTTGAAAATATTGCTCTCTCTGTTCTTTGGTTGCTCTCAGAGAAGCTGTTTCTGATTCTTGCTCCAAGTAAAGCGTCTTGTATTTGAGGGGGAAGGGGCAGGCTGGGATCTCTCTCCTGTGCTGTGGCTGTTCAGGAGCCTGGAGCCTCTCTCTAACCTGCTGAGTCTCATCAGCCAGCCAAGGTCTGAAGAGAGATTACCCTTTTTTTCCCTGGCCTCTGGCACTGGGCTTTGCACCTCTGACTGCTGGTGGGTCCCCCCATGTGTGGGGTGACTGTGGTGGGTACTGGCAGCTCCAGGCCCCAGGCAGAACCACCTTCCCTGGAGTCAGGGGGTGCCTGGCAGGTGAAGGCCACAGGGAGATTTCTACCCAAACAGGCACCTGGTAAATGTCTTCCCTTCTCAGCCCACTGTTATGCTCAGACAACAAACAGCCCCTTGCTATTTTCCTGCCTCAGGCAACCACCTGTTCTGTCAAAGCCCTGGTCCAGAAGGCGCTGTGGGCTGATCAGCATCAGCGCCGTGGCTGATCCCTCACCTTCACTTTTCCTGTGATGAAAACATCAGTCTGTCCCCGTCTGGTCTCCCTAACACTCACTGTCTTTTTATGAGCTGTTTTCTCTTTGCAGCTTGTATTTGAAAATGACATTTAAACCATTTTTTTTCCTTGGCCTGCAGGGTGAGCTGGATTATAAACTCCAGGACCAGGATAATGTGGTTTTCATCTCGACATTGCACGGCGGGTGAACTCCTGAAAAGACAAGAGGATGTAAATCCAAGTCCCTGGGCAAAAACCCCAAACAAAAACCTTAACCCACCCAAACCTCTCTTGAACTGCCTGTGCCTGACCTCTGCATCTTTCCACCATGTTCTCTTGTTACTACACATCCAAATAAAGCCCTGCAGCCTGCGGCCTGCTGTCCACCACAACGACATCCATCTTTTGGTCCTCATTTCACCTCTCCTGACTGCGCTTTCAGGTACCCTAACGAGCAGAGAGCACCTGCAGGATGTGGGACTTTATTTTTCCGTGATGGGAGGAAAAGGGGTGCTGAACCCTAAGTAGGATGACGTGTCTTTGGAGACAGTGAGGCGTTCTGGGGGAGTTGTGCCTGTTTTGGGGCAAGGCTGGGGTGCCTCTGCCTTGGTGCTGGGAAGCAGGATTCTTTTAATACAATACTTAGATAGTCTGTGCACCAGCCACGGGAAGGGTGAGGCATGAAGTGCAAGGAAACAAAAAGTGGCTTGCCTAGCTTTTCTGTGAGGTAGCAAACATGACAGCTTCAGAGCCCTCTGTAGTGACTTCCACTTGTGGTATTTATTTATGGGACGCAGGAGAGAAATAGGCTTTTTTGAAAAGTTCTGTTTTTCTGATCCCTCATACTGGAGCTGAGGCAGAGGGTGAAGTACTGGCCCACGAACAACATCAATTTGTAATGATTTGGTTGGAGGGGAAACAAACCCTCACCCAGCCTGAGACAGCACGGAGTGATCAGGGCAGCAAATGATCTTTCTGTCACCGTGATGGACAGCATTGATCGGGCTGCGCTGCGTTCTGTGCAGGTGGGAGCTGCAGCCTGGCCAGGGAAAGGCTGGGGCTGGAGATGCACAGTTGAAGTGCCAAGACCTGGGAAAGTCAGGCTTTTAACCCTTTCCACCAGTGGGAGAGGCTTCTTACTATGTGCCCTGAGGAAGTCCTGTGAGCGCTGTAGAAGGGGGTGTGCATGGCTCTGCTAGGGCACGGATGCTGTTGGCTTTCCAGAAGTTTCCTTGGATAGATGGACTGGCCCCTGCCAGCCCAGAGGCCACGGCGAGAGCGGAGGGACGGGGTCAGAGGATAGCACTGGTGCCACAGGTCTGAAACGTGCTGCTTGAGCTTCCAGGAGCATCTGACCGGGATGGTTGTTCCTGCCCCCCCACCCTGCTCACCTGCATTTGGGCTTGGCTCCGGCAGCGCACGGTGGTCCCCGGTGGCAGCTCCCGCTCTCTGGTACTCAGTCGGTGCATCCCGAAGCTGATCTGCACCACACGCTGCTCCGAGAGCCCTCCGTCTCCAGGACATGCGAGGAGGAGGTGGGAGGAGGGAGCAGCCAGTGCACCAGCCCCTGCTTGGGCAGCCTGGCCCAGCATCCCGGGTGCTGCGTACAAGGAGCTTCTCCCGCCCTGCGCCTGACGGAGGAATTCCGCTGTCTGATGCAGAGAGTGCCGAAGAGTAATTCCCTCAGCTGACTTCTCCTCTCTCACGTTCACCCCTCCACAACCTGCGTAACTAAAAGCACCCACGGACTATGATGCTGCTGCATCTGAGGAACCCCACCTTCCACCCACTGCTGGTGACAAACTGATATTCAGCCTTTTCCAAATCCAGCCACAGCGACTTGAGTCCAGCTCATGCCGTTTGTAAATGACACGGACGGGCCAAAGGCTCTTCTCTCCCCAGTTCTTGGCTGTTAGCTTTGCTGGGCCAGGGCAGTGGAGGGGGATTCCAGATGATGGTAGGAGCTGGCTGAAAAAACAAGGAACCTGTGTGGTGTGCAGCTTGAAATGGACTGAAACCCGATGGGAAAAGGCAGGTTTGTCTTCAGCGCTGCTGCCTGCCCTGCCTCTACGCTGCTTCTGTGCCTTAGGCTGGGCTTGTCTGTTCTCATCCCCCCCAGCTGTTTGCTCAGATTGGATGGGTTCCTTCCCCGGGAGCTGTTATTCCCCTCAATAGTGCAGGTAGACCCAGGTGGCTTAGCTCCTGCTGTAGTAAAAGCTGCCAATCACTGCTAAAAAAAGCTAGAAATGGGAAGATGAGGGAAGCCAGGGGGGTGGGAGAAGAGGGGTACAGCAAAATCCTGTAAAAACAACAACAACAAAAAGTTTCTGAAATAAAAGCCTTTTAAAACATTCTCTGCCTCCAGCTTTGTCCTAGATAGGCTCTTGGTGAAATTCTGCTCGGATCTTGTAATGCTTCCCTCCTCCTCCTGGGTTTCCTTGGCAGCCCCGGCCGAGCCGCTTGGCTGGTGGATTCATAAAGCCTCTCTGTTAGAACGTGCCTTCCTCCGGCCGCCGTTCCGCGGGGGCTGCTCCGCTCCGAGGGGCTCACCGGGGCAGCAAGGGCCGTGCCCGCGGCCCGGGGCCGCTCCCCGCCGAGCCCGCCCGGTGCCCGAGCGGCGGGGACGGTTCCCGGCTCGGCGGAGACTCGGAGCGGCCTCCGTGTGCCCGGGGCCGGCGGGGGCTGCGGCAGGAGGACGAGGAGGGTGTCCCGGTGCAGAGCGGTCCCCGGCGCGCCCCAGGGCCGGGCTCACGACGGAATGAAATTAAACCGCAGTGTTAAAATAGATAAATAAATAAACACCAGCAGGATAAACCAGGATGAAGCCGCAGGGCCGGGTCGCCCGCTCGCCGCGCCCGGGCTGCGGCCCCGCCGCCCACGGGCAAGCGCCGGTGCCCGCGGCTCGGCCCCTCCGTCCTGCCCGGAGCCTGCCCGGGGCTGCCCGTCCTGGTGGGGACCCGGCCGGTGTTTGACGCATTAGGACCGAGCCCCCCGGCCGCGCCGAGCCTAGGGGAGCCGCCGCCGGTGTTTCCTCAGTTTCCCCGAAATCCTGGCTCCGTCCCGCCGGGCCGCAGTCGGGAGCGGTTACCTGCCGTGCGCCGGGCCCGGGGAAGGTCCGTCCTCCGTCCTGCGCCCCAAGCACCGTCCTGGAGCCCCGCCGGAGGAGGTGAAACCTCTGCTACAGATGTCCAGACACAATTCTTGGTTCGTACGGCTCCATCGCACAAGAATTGCGTTTGGACAATCAGGAGCGGAGATTCCCATCCCGGGCTCGCGGGATCTTCCAGGGGGAATCCGGCTGGAGCCTGGAAAAGAAGGACACACGGCCCCGGAGCCGGCTCCCGCAGCCCCCCGCTCCCATTCCCTGGCCCCGCCGAGCCGCTGCTCCGGCCCCGACAAGTTTCGAGCGCAGCCGCGGCGCTTCGCATCCCGGGTTCCATTTAATGGCACCGCGAGGGGTTTAATTTTATCAACTCGTTTCTTACCCCTTAAAAAAAAAAATTAAAAAAGATCAACCTCTATTTAAAAAAATTAAAAAAAGAAAGAAAAAAAAAGAGAAAGAAAAAAACTAAACCAACATCAAGGGAAAAAAAAAAAGAAAATAGAAAAAAAGAAAAAAAGCCAGAAAACGAAAAACAGCGATCCATCCCCGCTGGAGCAGCCCCGGAGGAGCGGGGGCTCGGTGCGCCGGGGCTGGCGGCCGCGGCGGGGCTCGGTGCCTCCGGCAGCCCCGGGGCTCGGCGGGGGTGATGCTGCGGGCACAGACCCCGGCCCCGCGCTGCGGCCGCGCCGCTCCTGCCTCGGAGAATTCACCAATTCCAAACGGATCTCCCTCAAAATTCGGGTACTTTGAAAAAATCGCCGAAATTTATAAAAGCCCAACCGGAGGGGTGGGGGAGGATATTAATAATTATAATAAAAATATAAAGGAAAAAGATGAAAAATCCAGGCTTCTTCCCCAGCCCCTTCTCACCGACCGGCTCCCACGAAGTTGGGAGCAAATCCCCCCTCTCCAGACAGGGAAAATCCCGGCCCGCTGCCGGCGCTTCCCCCGCCGGTGCCGGCGCCGGTGGCCGTGGCCGCTCCGCGGCGGGGCCGGGCAGGTCCCCCCGGGGGAGGGCTGGGGGGCTGCTGGCGAGCGGCGGACCCCCGGCTGCCCGAGCCGCCCTCGGCCCCGGCGGCCCGCGGGGCTCCGAGTTTCCACGGGGCGCGGAAAGTGCGTCCCGCGGGGGCGGAGCGGGCGGCCCCCGTGGCTCGGCGGGGCACAGCGGCGGGGCTCCCGCGGCACCTGCCGCCGGCCCCGAGCCCGGCCGAGCCGCCGCGGCTCTGCCCTGCTTCCTCCACGCCGTATCCACCCGGGAGGGTCCCAAATCCGCCCGGGAGGGATGCGCACACCGGGGCTCTGCGGGCTGCGCCGGGGCCGGGCAGGGCTTTTAGTTGAACGGCACAACAATAAATGTGTTGCAGAGCCGGCGAGAAAAGAATGGGGATGACCTTCAATTGGTACTGGATTTGAATAACACCACGGGGTGATAAATGCCCATTGTGTTTTAGGAGTAATGAATCTCCACTGTCTCTATAGCACAGAAACAGCAGCTGCAACCTGGAGCCAGCCATCTCTTAAAGACACAGCTCCCAAACCCCGGCCCCGGCCCGGCCCGCAGCCCCCGCACCGCCGGCACCGGGGCGCGGGGTTCTCTCTGCCCCGGGGGCTCGGTGCCCGGCCCCGAGGATGGCGCGGTTGGCCCCACTCGGGGTTCTGGGGGTCCCCCCCGAGCCGCCGAGCAGAGCTGGGGCTCCGGTCCCCTCTCACCCACTCGGTCCCCCTTGGGGAACCCCGTGGGTCCTGCTGCCGCGGCAGTGGAAGTACCCGGGTACCCCGTGGGGTACGGGGTCACCTGCACCCCACTCCGGCCCCCCATGGCAGGGAAAGTGCCGGGGATAAATAATGCTCATTGTTTTCCCCTAATGAATATTACCGAGTTGCCAGGCCGGCAGCTGCGGGCTCCGGCCGGGGGAGTGGGGGCATCGCCTGCCTCTCCCCGCCTGGGGACCCCCAGCTCCGACCTGTCGGGGATCCCCGCAGCCGCCGAGAAGAGCACAGAGGTGTCCCCTGTCTTCACCCCACTGCTGCCTGCCACCACCCTGGGTGTCACTGGGGTCCCTGGGCAGAACCGGAGTGGTCCCTGGGGGGGTTGGCTGGGGGAGGGGTCGGCTGGGGGGGGGGTCCCCACTCCTCCTCAGCTTCCCCCGTGTCCTCGCACAGGGTTTGGCCCCACGGGGAGAGGGATCCGTGAGTGCTGGGAGAGAAACTTCGGCGGTCCCAGGGATGCTTGGAGCAGCCCAGCCCCGTGGAGCTGCAGGGTGACCCTAGTCCCTGCCCCCAGCCCTCGGTGATGTCCCCTGCCTCAGGCCTGGCCCCTGGAGCCCAGGGAGAGTGTCAGAGACAGTGTCAGGCCCAAATCCTGAGCGAGGATCAGCGGGGCAGGGATCTGTGACTGGGGACTGCTCTCCCACAGAGTCTCATTCTCACCCTGGGAGGTTTTGCCCACCCTGAAGAGGCATGAAGGTGTCCCAGGGCTTGGGGATAGACATGTCCCCATGGCCTCTGCCTCATGGGCCAGGTCCAGGAGGATGCTGAGCTCCTGCCACAGCCATGTGCCTCCCTCTGAAGGGCTACCCTGCCTCCCCACACCTCCCTGCCAGCACTAGTAGCAATAAACCCACTTCCTACGAGTGTGAAAATCAAAAGAAAGCCGGCATTTAATAAAAAGAAAAAAGAGCAGCAGCAGCAGCTGAAGGCCCCTGTTCTGGGTTGCAGCCATCGCCCAGGACCTGCCGCTCTTTGGGAAGCGGGAACCATCCGAGGGAAGCCTCCGGCACTGCTCCGGGTGTTCTGGCATTGTTTTAGCCCCGGACCTGCAGGCCTTTTAACTTGCTTTAATTCCTAACGCTCCCCACCACCACCTTTTTTTTTTTTTGAAGTCTCTTTCCCAAATCTCGGCCGAGTTAATGAAGTTATGTGATCCTATAAATGTTAATTGTCTAAACTTCTTCTCCTCTCTCCCCCCTTTTTTTTTTTTTTTTTTATCTCTCTCCTCCTTGCTGCTTTCTGCTCCACTTGTAATAAAGAAAATATCTTGGCTGGTCTTAGCCAGTTGCTTGGCAACCTCAATAGAAAAAAAGAGAACAGAATGTAACCAATCCCGAGACAACCGAAAGATTTTGGTGACATGTGACCTCTCGGAAAAGGGCAGCCTTAAACTGTCCCTTCTGTCCTTTGCTCTGACCATTAGGGTCTCTCGCCCTCCCCCCTCCCCCGGCTCCTTACACCAATAAATATGGATTAGTGAAATACTTTTTCCCACACTGATGAAAAGCCGGGATTGATCTTTCCACCTCCTTTATCTACCAACCTGACAAGTTTCTAAACAAAATTAAGAGGGAAGAGGCGAAAGGAGCCATCCCGGGTTGGGCGGCCGGGGACGGATCCTGCCCCGCCGTGGGGATGGGGGGTCCCCGACGGGGCGCTGGCGCCGGCTGTGCCGGGCTGGGGTCTGCTCAGCCGCCGGCCGGACCCGCTCTCTGCGTGCCGGGGAGCCCCTCGCGTAGCACCAGCGGGTTAAGAAATAAAACGTAGCTTTTCTGACCCAAAAGGGTAAAAAAATAAAGCCCCAGCCAAGCCCTGCACTCCGCCGATGGGCGTCTGTGTGTCCTGGGGAGACCTGTCCCGCTCCTCACCGCGGAGCCCCAGCTCTCGCGGGCGCCTGGGGAAGTTGTCTGCAAATTTCATCCTGGAAAAAAAAAAAAAACAACACAAACCCACAACATGATGTCATTGGCTTTCTGGTGCATCCCGCCGGCGCCCCTCCACCTGCCGCCGGCCTCCGCTTGGCCATGAGCCTCGGCACGACCACGACGGTCAGCCCGGGCACGGCCGTGAGCCCCGGCACGGTGGTCGCTGATCAGGCTCCCGCCCTCCCGCCGGCCCCCCGGCTCTCGGCTTTCCCAGGCTCCCGGTGCGGTGAATGCCTCTTTCACCAGCAGTTCCCCTCTTCCCAAAAAAGCATCACCTTGCCAGCTCCCTTCCTCCCGCCAGCTGCCAGGAAAAAAAAATTAGGGCAAGGACAGGGAGCGAGAGCAAAACCAATGAACTTGTTTCCAGCTTTTCCTTCGGATCAGCCGTCCAGCACCGGGAGAAAAATATTTGTCCTGTAAAAAAATCCCCTCTCCGTGCAGGCTCCGAGCCCTTCGTCACTGGGACACAGGCTGGAGACGCGGGCTCAGCTCGGCAGCAGAGGACACTGTAAGTTGGGCGTCTACTTAAGGAGTTTCCTGGCTTTTTTTGGGGTGGGGGGGTTTGCCACGGTTTGGGTTTGAGACCCCCAGGGATGGAGGAGGAGGGTCGGGGCAGGGGGAAGTTGCAAAGAGGGGGGTTTGTGGGGGGCACTGGCTGCGAGGTGTGGGCAGGGTGGGCACCGGCGCCGTGCCCGTGCCGGCAGTGGCCGGTGGTGCTGGGCGCCGGCAGCCCCGGAGTGCACAAAGCCCCTTTGAGCGGCTCACAGAGGAGCTGCTCATCCCTCGCCGGCCTCCCGGGAATGGCCCCGGGAGAGGAGAGAAGGACCCTGGCCCTGAACACCCGGGAGGACCAACAGCGCGTGGGGGGGCCTCAGGGCTCTGGGGCTGTGTCCCCCCCGGGTGAGGGATGGCTGAGCCCCAATCCATGGGGTGCCCACAGCCCCTCAGGACGGGCTGGTTCCTGGCCAGCCCCGCTGGCCGGGGAGCCGTGGGGAGCAGGGGGTGCTCCAGCTGTCCCACGTGGGGATGGGGGACTCGCTCCCTCCCATCATGGGTCGTGGTGACACCCATGAAGCCACCAGACTCTGGTCACCGTGGTGGCCAAGGGCAGGGCTGGGGTAGAGGCTGGGATGGAGAGTCTGTTGGGACCAAATGGAACCCAGTGGCACCTGCTGGCACTCGATGGGACTCAGTGGGACCCGATGAGATCCAATGAGACCCGGTGGGACCCGGTGGGCCCTGGCTGCCCTGCTGCCGAGGCCGGCTGGCCAGGCACAATACCACGGCCCTGCTCCTGAGCCGCCGCTGAAGCCCCTTTCCCAGCATCGAGCGCCTTTGTCTCGCCTTTGTGATGGAAAGAGCCCCCCCCTCCTAAATCACGGCCCTGACACCCCCATTGTCTCCTTCCCGGGGAGGTTTGAAACTCTCCCCCCCCCTCCCGAGGTCAGGAATGTGGCCGGTTTCTATTGGGACGGAGGAGCAGGGCTGGGTGGGGGGCTGCAGGGTCACGCCGGCTCGGCGGGTCAACTCGAAAACAAAACCTTTTGAAATACCTACTCTCCATCACTGCCAACATTGTCCCCTGCCAGCGGGGGCCTGGCACGGCCCCTCGACGCCTCCAGCCCGGCCGCTGCCCACCCCAGCGGTCAGCATCTGGGGGGGGACAGAAGGGTATTGTGCCGGAGGGGACAGCTTTGTTTTCGGTCACAGCTGCCCCGGGTTGGGACGGGGACCGATCGTCAGCCCTGCTGGGGGGGGGGAGACGAGGGAGGGGACAGAGGGGACGGGAGCACATGGGTCAGCACGTCGCAGAGGGGACCTGGCCCATCGGGCACCCCTCTGTCGCTGTCCCTCTGAGAGGGGCCAGTGAGGGGGGACAGAGAGCAGCTCCTTGTTGTACCCAGAATGAAGACCCGGGGTGTTGTGGCCTCTCCCTGCCCAGTGGGGCTGGGGCAGCCTGGGCTTGGTCTCCTGCCTCAGTTTCCCCTTGCTGCAGGAGATGTCCCTCTGGCCTTTGACACCCAGAGCCAGGCACTGCAGGTCCTGATGGCAACAAGTGTGGTCCTGCCTGGGGAGAAAACGGACCATTCTGAGGCTGAACCAGCTGTGCCACCCAGGAGGATCAGGATTTTGGCCACTGCAGGGCTTGACCGTGGCTCCAAGCCTGTCAGTGCCTTGCAGGTGGAGCAGAGCATCCCGCATGGACCCAACTCCCTGCTCCCAGCAGGACATGAAGAGGGACCCTGGGAAACCTTCACTC